ATTAACACCTGCTCACACCACACTTGGAATAGTACGTAAACCAATATGGTGCCCAAGTGATGCTCCAGGTAAACTGTTAAGTGGTTAACTTTGGTTTACATATTAAAAATGAAGATGGTTCTAGAAAAGATTTAATATTTCTTTTGCAGTTTTTCTAATCTTTTAAATTTGAGAAATCAATCAGTTTCACCTCACTGGTAAAAATGGCAAAGCAAAGCAGTCAAAGAGATTGCCATAAATATTATTCTCTGATGAATAATCTAAAAGTCTCCTTTGGCACAGGGATAGTATCATTAAAACACTGACTGCTGAACAGGCTTAACACTGAATTGTGGTGGCTGTCCAGGTTGAATTATTATAGATTTTTAAAATACTACTGTACATATTTTATACATATTGATTAATCATCATGAGGAGTAGATATGATTATTACATTTTCACATTTTAGGCCTTTTTATTTTCTCTTCTGCTCCTCTTCCTCCCCTCTAGCTATACAGTTTTAGAAGTCCGGTTTTCTGGTTTTCATATAGTACAGATGTTGACTAGATTTTTAACATCACTTTGCCATTTATTCTGGAGAGGTTTTTGTCTTTATCTTTTTAAGACAGGGTGTTGCTATGCAGTTCAGGCTGGCCTTGAGCTCACTTTGTAGCCCAGGCTGGTCTCAAACTTACAACAGTCTTGCCTCAGCCTCCCAAGTACTGCAGTTGTAAGTGTGTGCCATCACCCCACCCTTGGCTGTTTTGGAGTTTATGTTTATAAACAGTTTCAAAAATTGCCTACTGTGTTGCAGCAAAAGGTATGAGAAAGGAGAGTTTCACAGAAGCACACAGTGCAAGAGCCCCACTCAGTCTGTGGAGATGTTCTGAACAGTGTTGCATTCGTGGGGGGATGTTAAGAGGATTTAGGGCTCTAGGAAGGACTCAGAGGACAGCTGGTTCTGTTTAGTTTATGACAGACATTCCTAACCACCCAGGGTCTTGAAATTGCTTTTATCAAGAACCTGAAGAAAATAACTAATTCTCTTGGTTTCAGGAAATGATAAACAGTTTATTACTCATGTTTCATGAGTAATAAAATGTTTTTAAGCTGATATAGTAAAAAACTGTTAAGAAACCAGAGTCTTGCCAGGTGTGATGGTGCACATCACAGCACTTAGGAGGCTGAGGCAGGAGAATCATGAAGTTTAGAGTTTCACCTGGGGAACTTTAGTGAGACCCTGTCTCAAAATAAAGTAAGGCCTAGTGATGTAGCTCAAGAACAAAGCCCTGGGTCTGATATAAGTACCACCAAAAATAAAATAAAATTAAAAAATTAAAAGTGCAGATTTAGTTCTGCTGCTTTGTTTTGGGAACTGACTATGGTCAATGGAGGAACACTCATTGATTGAGATTAGTCTAATCACCACAATTTTACAGCAGAGAGATGGACTCTGACATTCAAGATCATTAAACTTGCTGTTGGTTTAGAATGGCTTAGACAAGAGTTTGTTGATTGATTGTAGAGGCAGTGCTGTGGAAAAGAAGAGGATCATCTCTTCAAGTAGTTAGAGCACTCAGATCATCTACAAGGTCTTCAAGAAGTCTGCCTTTCACAGGCTGTGATTAGCATAATTTAAATATAGCAAATAGAGATCACAAATTTAATAATGAGACTGGGATAATAACAAAGTCAGCAAATAGAAATTTACAGTACCAACAAAACACTGAAAAGTAGAGTGGCTGATGGATTTCAGCAGTGTTCAGCTTTTTGCGTCATCATGTGTCCAGCCTTCATTTGTGACAGGAGCTTGCTGTGTAGGCTAGGCTAGCCTCACATTCACAGTGAGTCTCCTGCCTCAACCTCCTGAGTGCTGGAGTTGCAGGTGTGCACCACCGTGCCCACCATGCCCGCCGCCGCTGCCTCTTTAGTTTTCCTAATGATTGCCTGCCACAAGATGTCAATATCCCAGATTGTACTATGTATCCCTGTGTTACACATTAAAAGAACAAGATTATATTTTCACCTCCTAGGTACCAGTTTTTATCTTTGTGGTGTAGCTGTGGGGAGGCAGTGTCACCCCATTGAGAACATGCATGACTGATGGGGGACAGAACTGAACTTGAACTCAAGATTAACTAAAGACAACAGAGCTTCATAGCCATGGTTTGATCCTGGGAAGAAGTGAATAAATGAGCCTTTCCTTGATTAAGAGTGGAGGGTAACCAGTGAACAAGAACAAAAAAACAAGTGCTTTACTAATTGTAATTAGGAAGGGGGACAGATGTAAGCTTAACAGAATGTGGTACTTCACAAGGAGCTCAAGGAAAAGCATTTGATCTTGCTGAGCCAGGGGGGCTGGTTTTGTCAGAAGCCAGGCATATTATCAAAGGAGTTAGGATGCTCACTCTAAAACAGTAATAAAAAGGAATGGAACACCATTGGATGGTCTCTATCTTCTCTGGAGGTATTCTGAAGTTTGATGCCTTAATGAGAAGGTAATCAGGATTTAGGGCTTCAAGAAGGAATTAAAGGGATCAGAGATTAGGTTATGGCAAGTGGGCTTTGGAGTTAGCAGTACTGGTGATCTGGCAGAAGATGAATGAACTCACACACACACACACACACATCCCGCCCCATGGCAGTCAGACCATCCAAGGGGACACAAGGTGGGCAGGAGAGAAAGAAGAGAAACCTCTTCTTTCCACGATGGAGGCAAGAAAGCTGAGGGCACATGCAGAGGGAGCGTGAGTGCTCAAAAGACCAGAGATGCCAGAAGTAAGCAAAGAAACAAATGGGTGAGTTGAAGGAAACTGCTAGCAGCCTCCTGTCTTCATGGCATATAGGGGAGTGGCTAAAGAGTTGGCAGAAAAGATTACATTAGGAAATCAGTAGAAATGAGCTTACAGGTAATGGCAATGGCTGGTAAATATAACTTAGAAAAACTACACATTACGAGAACAGAGGTGTGAAAAACAAGACCTCAGTTTTCACAGGGAGAGTACAGCCAGCCAGCTGTGCAGCTCTGAATTCAAAGCACAGGTTGTCTGAAAGAGTTACTGTTTGTTTCTCAGAACTGTGAAATAATAAGGTGAGCTGCCCTCATAAATCAGAAGTGAGTTCTGGAGGGAGCATAGTGGATCAAGCTGTGTCAGTGACCACCTGGGTAAGCCTGGCAGGATGTACATTGAGACTCCTGTCAGCAAGAGGCTTCTTAGAGAAAGCAGCAGCCCTACAGGGAGGAGTAGGGAACACTGGCCTCATGGTACTCTCGGGCTCCTCCCTGCACGGTGGCAGACACACTCACTTTCATCTGTTAGGAAAGGAAAATCCAAGTCAGAGAAACCTCTTCTTTCCATGATGGAGGGAAAAATTCCAGTCTCCCCCCAGGGTAACCATGACCACCTTCTGTGGAAAGACAGCTTTACTACTCAAAAACTAAACCAGGTGTGGTGTTACACACCTGTAATCCGGGCACCCTGGGAGGCTGAGGTAGCAGGATACAAGTTTGGCCACAGTCTGAGATGCTTAGCAAGATCTTATCTCAAAAATGAATGAGCGTGTCACCAGGGATTTAGCTCAGTTGTGAGTTCAATTTCATACCAAAAAAAAAAAAAAAAACCCACCCAAGTGTGATGTTGCACACTTGTAATCCCAGTACTCAGGAGGCTGAGGCTGAGGCACTCATTGCCATGAGTTCATGGCTAGCCTGAAACTACATAGTGAGACCCTGTCTCGAATGAGTGAATGAGGGTACAGTTGAATATGAAGGCTAGTTCAGTCCCCAGTCTGTCCCCCACCCCCACTGTGAAGAACATAATACACTGTTTTTGATAGTACACTTTCCCTGTGGGGACAGTGTATGTTGGTGTCAAGGAGGGGACATGAGTGGTAAGTGGATTCCTGTTTGTGCACAGACTGAAAAGGTTTGTTTCCCTGATTAATGGAACTAAATGTTGAAGTAATAAAAATTTTCAAGGTGGAAATGCTTTCTGTCTGCAGCCATTCTTTACTCATTATAGGCTAAATATACCTATGTTCCTACATGGTGTTCTGTAATCAGAATTAAAATGTCATTCATACATTTGGTGACTTAGAGCCATAAATACAGGAACACGGAGAGTCATAAAGAGTACTTACACGAAAGACTTTTAAAGGATACAACTAACAAAACAACTAACACCCATAACTTAAAGGAGGATAAGCTTTGTCTGAAATGTGCAAGGAAATTGTATAGGACACTGATTAAGAAGGGATAGCTGAAATAGAATAGTAAAGAATCAGAGTAAATGGAAATTTCTTGATTGTTGACTCAGGGGATGTCACTGACTATGGTTGTCCCCTCTTCGGGTAAGAAGTAAAGGAGTAAATGTCTTGAGGAAGGTGTGAGGGTGCAGCTAGATTGTTATCTTGATTAGCTTGAGAACTACTCAGGGATTATTAAAGCACCTGAGTAGGTCACAGACGTGTGACCTTGGGTACTGTATCTGTCCCCTGGCTTCCTCTCCCATGCTTTGCTCTATCATACCTTCCACCATATGCTTTTGCCTTGAGGGCAGTCATCCATAGGCTGAACCCTGTAAAACCAGGAGCCAAATTAAACATTTCCTCCTTTAAGTTATGGGTGTTAGTTGTTTTGTACCAACAATAGGAAAAATAATACAGAACAGCAAACTATTTTAGTCCTCTTACTGCCTTGACTATGAGCTATCTCCTTCAGTGCAGCACAGAAGCCCAAGAATGGACTTGCCCTAAGTCCAGTGTACATTTTTTTGGAGATTTAGTAATAATTGTGATCTGTAGGGCCACAATCTAATTTAAAAAATAGCTAATTGGGCTATAAACTGGGAACAAAGTCAAATACAGAATAACAGTAAGACACTTCCAGGGAATTTCTGAATCGTTTGTAACACTTAACATAGTTCTTTTTCTTCCTATTTTAAAGGTGTCAGTTCACATGTTATGAAGGATAGAAAGAAGTTGGGAAATGACCAGGTATGGTTTATCTGTATCTCCTGCAGGTCCCAGCAGAGATGGAACCATCAGTGAGGACACCATCCGGGCCTCTCTCATTTCAGCAGTCAGTGACAAACTAAGATGGAGAATGAAGGAAGAAATGGATCGTGCCCAGGCGGAGCTTAATGCCTTAAAACGAACAGAGGAAGACCTGAAAAAAGGACATCAGAAACTGGAAGAGATGGTCACCCGCTTGGATCAAGAAGTAGTAAGTAATCATTAAATACTTGTCAGGTGTTTTGTATGTATCCTGGATGTGTGTATAAGAGTTCTGAAAATCATAGGTGTCTTTAGACATTTGAATTTTACCTTCTCTAATGCTTTGTTAAAGCTGGAGTGTGGGTTTGGTGTTTTGACCTTTAGGAGCTAAGTAATATTCAGAGCATTTGGCTTGCACTTTCAGCCCAAGAGATGCTATGTTTGACCCAAAGGAAGACTGAATACTTAGTGTCACCACAAGTTACAGGAAATGTATGTTAGAGCTCTTAAGTCACTGTAAAGATTTGTGTTGCAGATTTAGGGTTTCCAAAGAGTGGAGCCACTCTTCAAATTACATTCAGCAAACTGTACTTAGTAATCCAGAATATTTGGGTTTGACTTGAGAGTATCATGTGAACATATTATGTGCCTAGGCATGATGGTGTACACCTGTAATCCCAGCACTTGGGAGGCTGAGGGAAAAGGATCATTGTGAGTTTGAGGCCAGCCTGGGCTACAAAGTGAGCTCCAGGCCAGCCTGAACAGCATAGTGAGACGCTGTCTCAAAAAATAAAGAAACATACTACACACATCTATTAGCACCTTAGGCTCCCTCACGCTGATAGTTGTTGCTGTGCCGTGGAGCGTCAGCATTGTCAGTCAGCCTATTGCTCTGTTCAGTGGTGGTGAAGCATAGGCACTGACATAATTTGAGCACAGCTGCTTTCTCCATTTTTCATACCCGTGAAGGAGAATTCATTCTAGGAAATGTCCATTTTAATGAAAGAGTAAAAGTAATAGAAAGTCTGGAGGCTTTGGGGGCAGGTGATTTGTACACACAAATGATCCTTGGGGAATGGTTCTGGCATATGTATAAAGTGAGCATTGAGGGAGCCAATTATTTTCAGGTGTTCAGGAAAGTGCCACCAATGTAAGTTAAAGCCCCCTGCCACCACCTACAAGATCTTCACACTGGAGGTATGCAGGGCTTGGCACACTGGATTCTCCACATAGATTGAGGAACGTTATTCCTCTCTGGCAGATACACATTTGTTTTATGATTTTCTACACAAAAGTACTTCCTGCTGGAAAAGATCCTGTCTGATAAATTGGTTCCTACTATCATTTGTCACTGGTGAGTGACAAGCTTGTCACTGGTGTGTGCTCAGCTAAGGTATCTGAGATGCCATCATCTTGTTTTCTGTCAGCATCTTCCATCATACCTTCCTGGCTCCCTTTTATAATGTGTTACTGGAAAAGGCTCTCCCATGGAGTTACTTAAACTCTGCTTTATTAGTCTCTTCCTTTGAAGTTGATTTGTGGATATTTAAGAAGCAGCTAATTATGTATAAATTAGTATAAAGTCATCATGCACAAACTGTTCTGTTTTTAGGCTGAAGTTGATAAAAACATAGAACTTTTGAAAAAGAAGGATGAAGAACTCAGTTCTGCTCTGGAGAAAATGGAAAATCAATCGGAAAACAATGATATTGATGAAGTTATCATTCCCACAGCCCCACTATATAAACAGATTCTCAATCTCTATGCAGAGGAAAATGCTATTGAAGACACTATCTTTTACCTGGGAGAAGCCTTGAGGCGGGGCGTCATAGACCTGGATGTCTTCCTGAAGGTATGTCTTCCTTGAGCTCCGTCCTGGATTTTAGGGTGTGTACTGTAGGCCCACTGGCCTTGAAAACCACACTTCAAGCAGGTTCTCTGTTGGGTAGGTTAAGATCATCTTCCCAGGGGCTGGGGATTTAGCTCAGCGGCATAAGCACCTACCTTGCAAGCAGGCAGTCATGAGTTCGATCCCTGGTACCGATAAAAAAAAAGAGAAAAGAAATTTTTAAAAAAATCCCAAAATACAGGTAGGGTCTGTGACCACAAGCAGTGTCTTCTCAACCTGGAGCACTGAGGAGTGGTCTGAGGAAGGGGAGAGACATGGGCTGGTAGCTGTGGTTGCTGGCCGTACCACTGAGCTGCACTGTAGTGAGCCTGTGTGGGACGAAGTTGGGGCCCGGAGTTCCATTGGTTCTTCTGCCTGGGTTCAGTTCACTCACTGCCCACTCTCATTTATTACTAGAGGTGTGTCATGTTAGACTCGTTTTCATAGCTCCAACAGCCCTCCAAGGAAGTGGGCTGCCCTCTTGAATAAAGGTTGTGTTAAGCTAATGCTGTCATGCAGATGGGAGAATCTAGCAGGCCAAGTGTGGTAGGTGCTTGTTGGGTTGTAGAGTACCGCTTTATGAGCAATGGCCACGCTCTTTGCAGATACTTCGTCCAGCTGCAGCTGCTGCTGCCTCAATGTACATGCAAGGCTGGTCTTGCTGATTCTGCTTCCTCTGTCTCACTCTTAGCGAGTGCCAAACCATGTGCCTCAGATTTGAGGCAGACACGTGACTGAGCAGCTGTAAACCTGAGACCTAAGAAAGGCCTGCCTTTCTAAGCACTTTAAGAAAAGATGTACTTGAAGAGGCAGGAAAAGAATGGTACTTGCTAGATCCTGGACCAGAGCCAAAAGCTAGCTTGTTATCCTTGCCCTTCCCCTTCTTTTAACCAAGGAAGAACAGAAAACAGTTTGGTAACTTTTTTTGGTGGCACTGAGGATTGAAACCTAGGGCTTTCAGACTGAGCTATATCCCCAGGCCTTTTTTTTTTTTCCTTTTGAGACTAACATTGCTAAATTGGTCAGGCTAGGCTCAAACTTGGAATCTTCCTGCCTCAGCCTCCCAGAGTGCTGGGACTATGGATGTGCACTATGCCTGGCCAATTTGGAACTTTCTAATGAATCATAGTACAAGTTTCCATGGCATCTTGATTAGCACAAGATGTAGCTTATGGCTAGGGATGTAGCTCCATGGTGTAGGGTACTAGCCTAATGTGGATAAGGATCCGCTTTTTTCAGTCCCCAGCACCAAAAAAAAAAAAAGTGTAGTGTAGAGTTCTGAGTCAGATTCTGCATGATGATACTTTCCCATGCTACTTTCTGGAGTTGCAGAAGACTATCTCCCCTCAGTCTTTGAGAATTGATGTGGAGCTTAAAAAGCCATGTGTAATGAGGTAGTAGATCAAAAGGTGGACACGGTGGTTGCTTCAGCAGCAGATGTACACAAGGTGCACAGCTAATGTGTTTAGGATTCTTAGGTAACATCTAGGCATAAACTGATGCTTCATAGCTGGCCTGGATTGAAGCCTAAACTGTTGAAACTTTCTCCCCTCCCAGCATGTACGTCTTCTGTCCCGTAAACAGTTCCAGCTGAGGGCACTAATGCAAAAAGCAAGAAAGACTGCCGGTCTTAGTGACCTCTACTGACTTCTCTGATACCAGCTGGAGATTGACCTCTTCTAGAGCATTCTTTCTTCTCTTCCTTTCTCTTATCAGTAGGTGCCCAGAATAAGTTATTGCAATTTATCATTCAAGTGTAAAATATTTTGAATCAATAATATATTTTCTGTTTTCTTTGGGTAAAGACTGGCTTTTATTAATGCACTTTCTATCCTCTGTAAACTTTTTTGTGCTGAATGTTGGGACTGACTATGCTAAATAAAATTTGTTGCATACTTTTTCTCTTCTTTATTGGACTTCTTTAGGAAGGCCTCATGGAATCTTGTGAAGCTGTTTCATTTAGTAAGCAAAACATGTCCATCTTAATTGCAATTTAGTATTATTTATTCTACGGACTATAAGGACATAGGTATATCCTATGTGAAACAGAAATTTAATTTAGAAATACTTGAAATCCAGGGAGTTAAGTGACTGTTAAAGGCCAGGGTGGCTCCCTCACACCAGTCCTGCTGAATCTGGTTCCATTCTAAGCCTGGATGCACTGTAATTGTTTTTGCCAAGAAGTAAGTGGAATGGTAGGTGCCAAGCAGAACATGTGAGTCCTATGCTAAATAGGCAGACAGCCTGGCCACAAGGAAGGGGAAAGGCACAGATCCTCTCATGGTTGCTAAGTATGATTGTTGGGTTTTCACACTACCATGTGAGATGTGCCTCCCTCCAACCTTGTTACAGTGTCAGCACATTACCTATCTGAACTAAAAAAAAAGTCTTTTTTAAAATTTCATGTGAAAAGTACAGCATCCAGTGCCTCCCTGCTTTTACTGTAATTTTTGTTTGTTTGATTTTGTCTTTGTCCTTTAAAGACAGGGTCTCACTATGCAGTTCAGGCTGGCCTTGAACTCACTTTGTAGCCCAGACTAATCTCAAACTTGCAGCAATCCTCCTGCTTCAGCCTCCCTAATACTGCTATTACAGGTGTCTGCCACCACACTCAGCTTTTACTGGCACTGGAAGTCTGTCTTCATGGCAAGTGATACCATAGCCAAGCTGAAAACACGCAGTGAGTGCAACACAATCCTGCAGAGCACATTCAAGTAGAACAGAATGTTCTTCAAAACGAGGAGACTAGGAAAAGATAGAACATTCTGGTATGTGAACAATTTCCCTTTGTATTTAGGGAAGCCCAGCCTATACCTCTTCGAAAAGAATGTGACCAACTTAGTCATCAACATGGTTTATAGAGTTCACATCTTTTCTTTAAAGATTAAAATCTACGTACAAAAATTATTAGAATAAAACCTAGCAAAGCAAATCAAGGTTTTATCTAGTGTGAGGATTGGAGTTAACATTTAGATTTCTTTTGTGTGTATATACCTTTATTTTTGCCTTATAGAATTAACATACATTTGGAAGAAATGCTTATCACTAAATGTCCATTTTGTAGCAAACTATTTGATAGTTCCACAAAATATCAGTTTTTCCTAAAATTCTTCATAGTGGTTATTTAAATAAAGCAAACAATAGAGTTAAGAAAAGTAGTTTCAGAGATCTAGAAATTAACATAAAACCCAACTCCACTGACAGTAAAAACTGTGTGGCAACTCTTTAAAAATTAATATACTTACATACACACATATATTCAATCAACAAATAATTTCTACCATGGTGCTAGTCAGTGGTTTGCTGTTAGCAATGCACAACACTGAATTAGTCCCTGGCTGCTTAAGAAATTACCTAAATCTGGACATGGTGGTGCACTTGAGGCTGGGGGCAGGACTGCCATGAGTTTAAGGCAAGCCTGGGCTACATAGTGAGACCCTGCCTCGTAAAAAAGAAAAGAAACTGTCTGATGATTATGATCACACACGAAAGAAGTACTGTAATAAAAGTTATAGGAAATAATCTCATCCCTGTAGCAGAATTCAATATAGAGACTAACTTATAAAGTACTAAAAATATGCAATTAACCCATTATCTAGAAAACAGGTTTTATTTTTTGTTTTTGTTTTTTTTTGTATTTTGTATTTTTACCGGTACCAGGGATCGAACTCATGACCACACGCTTGCAAGGTAGGCGCTTATGCCGCTGAGCTAAATCCCCAGCCCTCTTGGCTTTGGTTTTTAAAGATAGGCTCCTCCCACTCTGTGGCAGGGCGTGGTCTGGGCTCCAGCAGTCCTCTTGCCTCAGCCCCCCCAAGTAGCTGGGGCAGCAGGTTGCCACCATACCCTGTTCCACACCTCTGCAAATTTTTTCTTAACTGTTACAACTGCCCTAGATGATCTTCAACTGGAAGTACTACGAAAAATGCAGCTTTCTGAGCCCCAATCCAGATCCCCTAAATCAAAAGCGTCTAGATGGGGGGATCCACAATCCAGTGACCTTGGCAGAAGTTCTCCAACAAGAAAGTGGCAGCTTAACCCTGCCAACTATAGACAGTTTTAACTTCTCTCCCTTTACGTCCATCCCCATCGTCGACTAACTTTCCGAGGTTTCTAGCCAGAAGCAACTGCAGATTGCTAGTACCTCATCTCTTTCCTTAAATTTCCCCAGTTACACTTATCCTTAATCTGAGAAACTCATTACTTAAATTACAATGCTGATCTTTCTGAACTACTCAGTTTTAAGTTAATACAAACTACATCATGTTATTTACTTCTGTATTAAAGCATTACAAACTTAACTATAAGATTTCCAGTAAAGATCTCATGTTTTTCAAATTTGGAGATTTGTTTTGTTTTGTTTTATACTTTTTGAGACAGGATCTCACTCTGTAATTCAGGCTGATTTTACACTGTGTAGCCCAGGCTGGCCTCAAACTCCTGGGGATCCTCTTGTTGCAGTCTCCCAAGTTGTGCTTGGGGTATCCCCCCCTTTGTTGACAGGGTCTCACCATGTATTTCAGGCTGGCCTCAGACTTACTCTGCAACCTAAGCTAGACTCAAATTCGTGGCAGTCCTCCTGAGTGCTGGTATTAGAGGTATGTGCCACTATGCCTGGCTGGTGGATCCTTTTATAATAAATAAATGTGATGAAAATTAAAACACTTAAGTGCTTAAAAGAAACTTTTTGCTTACCCAGAAACAATGTTACTTTATGTTTAAGCCTCTATATGATCAATATATTCAAAATACGTATCATTTCAGTGAGCAAGCAGGACTAAGTGATGCTTAGGCTTACACTTCAATCTGTCTCTCCTAGGATCAGCCCCTGACAACTTCTGGAGTGGATACCAAGCCTCTGCCAAGCAGAGGAACAGGCAATATTCAAATCAGAGCCACTTCTAACACCACTGCAAAGAAAAGCTCAAGAGAGAGCTCTAACCTAAGCAGTGACTGATTCTCTAAAATTTTACCTAAATGAAAAGGTAAATTTGGGACCAAGGATTTAGCTCAGTGCCTGGCAAGCGTGAGTTGTAAGTTCAATCCCTGGTACCACCAAAAAAAAAAAAAAAAAAAAAGGTAAATTTGATGGTTCTGTATCCAGATCTAGGAATACACCAACTCCAGTCATATCTACACAATAGAAATAAATTATGAAAAACCCTTTGGTTGCTACTCTGTATGCCCTGGTATGTAGAAACACAGTAAATCAGTACTCCTTAGATAACTGTGTGCCACATGAGTGAGTTCAAAGCCAGCTGGGCATGGCGGCTGAAAGACATCCTATGTACATGGACCAGAAGGCTTAAAATAGAAATACTAACAAAACTGGTCTACAGATTTGATTTAATTTCTGTCAAAATCTCTGCCACTTTTTCTTCCTAGAAACTGACAAGCCGATTCTTCACACAAAATGCAAGGGATGCAGGAAAGTAAAAATAATCTTAAAGAAAAACTTAAGTTGGAAGATTTTAACACTCAAATTGATAATTACCATGTCTGTAAACACCAGCATGCAGTGAGCTTCATGATACACTGTTTTGTTTGTCTACTTCCCCCACGCCCGGCCTGCCCCACCCTGGGTACTGGGAATTGAATTCCCAACCTTAAACTTGCCAGGCAGGCGCTGTGCCGATGAGCTATCTCCCTGCCCTTTGTCTTTTTGAGACAGGGTTTCACCACATGATACATTGCTAAGTTAGAAATAAAAGAATATAGGCACAATGTACATAGTAACAATAAACCAATCATAAGATAAAGATTTTAAACCATTAACCCTAAAGGAATGCAAGCTATTAGAGCAAAAAAGACAAGGATAAAAGCTTTGTTGGAGCAATATAAATATAAAATCATGCTGGCTAAGCATGGTGGGTAATGCCTGTAATCCCACTTGGGGGACTGAGGCATGAGGAAAATTGCCAGGAGTTTGAGGCCAGCCTGAGCTGTTTAAGTGAGTTCAAATCCAGCCTGCACTACATAGACCTGTCTCACAAACAACAAAGTAGATACATATATACATACATTTATGTATGTGTAATCATGAAACTACTTAAATAGCAAGAAAATAGCAGGTATCCATATCAAAATTTAAATGAATAAACTTAATTAGGTATTCAGTTTTGGTCTACCTACAGGGAAAAACTTTCAAAATGACTGTATAACAGTATAGTAATTTGCCTCTATACTGCTGAGCCTCTAGACTAATATAACCAACTACCAGTCTGAACATTTCCTTTTGCATTGTTTTTTTAAATATCTCAAATTTAGAGCTGGGCATGGTGGTGCACTCCTGTAATCCGAGCACTTGGGAAGCTGAGGCAGGAGAACCATTTACAAGTTCGAGACCAGCCTGGGCTACAAAGTAAGCCCAAGTCCAGCCTGAAGTACATAGCAAGTCCCTGTCTCAAAAAGACCTCCCCCAACCCGCCAAAAAAAAAAATCTCAATTTAACATGTCTCAATTGGGAACTTTATTTTTCTGTCTTGTTTTTTCCTAACCCTAACACTGCTACCTCCTACTTTCCTCTCAACCCTGAGAGAACATCCTAACCTAGGTAAATGGAACTACTCTCTAATTAGTTTACCAGTAAGAGGGGAACATCTATGAGTTACTTTTGATTCCTCCTCCTTTGCCTCACTTTGTATAATTTATCAGAAGTCTTGCACCCAAACATAGCGTCCTGAATTTGTCCACCTTGTCTATCCCCCAATGAGAAGTCTAGTACAGTTTTGCACCTAGTTGTGTAATAAACTATATACTAATGTGGGAAACAACCTCAGCATGGCCTTTAGAATGTAAACCACAAAGTCACAAAAAATAAACACTAATATTTAAAGGGATATTGCGAGGTTTGGTGGCACACATCTATAATCTAGCACTTGAGAGGCTGACGCAGGAGGATCACCATAAGTACCAGACTCGCCTGTACTACATAGCAAGACTCTTGTCTAAAAAAAAATCAAAAATAATTACCACAGTATATACAGTGACTAGAACTTACAATTAGAATACATGTTACACTAACAAAACACAAAGATTCTGAGATTATATTGGTAGGTTAGAATTTAATACTAATTCTTTTTTGTAGAGTTATTTAACCTCAAGAAAATTCATTTATGCTGGTAATGATAATCTATTTGAAGCAGGGACTATAATACTGGAAATCATTAAAAAGTTTGCTGGACAAAATCAAAGAGTGGTATTTGTTTTTGTTTTGTGGTGGTTCTCTGGCTTGTCGGTTTGCTTATTTCCTGGGAATTGAAACCTGGCCCTCACACTAAGCCACATCCCCTGCCCTTTGTTGAGAATGGTCTCACAAATTGCACAGGCTGGCCTCAAAGTTGTGACCTTCCTGCCTTAGCCAAGCAAGCAGCTGA